AAAATAAACACAATTCATTTTAAACATTATTTACCAACATTGACTTTCGGAATAAATGTAAACATTGCAAATAAATAAGTAACAGCTGATAGAATGCAGGCGTTTTTCAGTCCCCATGCATTTCTTATGGTGGATATTTTACGTTATATCTAGTTTTCTGGTAACTTTATGGGAATTCTGCTATTTTTCCCGAGTCCCTGGGGTCAAGACCTTTAATTTAAGACCCCTCCCACTTTTCTGCGACTTACCAGACGTCCAAAATTTTCTGGTAAAAATTTGGTCTTACAGAATTATATATATACTAGTGGCTTGTAGGGACAATAGCCCCTAGATCTATATGTTCTAGTAATTATTTTGTACACATTATTAGTCTTATAGGTTACCCTACCTTGATTCTCGTTTAAAATTTTTGTATATTATAATATGTATATTAGTTATTACATACTTGCATAATGCATTTTGATGTCTGCTCTGTTAAAAATAAATATTACAAAGGACTTTTCATGCGGTATGTTTATAATATAAACTTTCTAATCATAATACAACTAAGGAAAACTTCCAATAATCATCTTCAAGACTATTAATTAAATATATAAAAATGTCTTTAAATATAGACATATTGACTTAGATAAAACACATGCAGATTAATTTTTCAAATAAATGCCCATTTTAGTGAAAATTTTCCTTGTAAACTTGAAACGGCATATTAGGATCTGTAGATATTAGTTTTATTTTTGGCATTAAAAATATGTTCCCTTTGCCTACTCCAGTAATTACTACTAACCTTACACTTTTTTCAGACATACCTAACACAACCAATTGTAGGCTACTCCATTAACTAATCCTTCATATTTCCTAGCTTCATATTTCTAATGAGCATCAGTATTGAACCAACTTTTAAAACTAATTTGTGTGGTGGCATTCCAGATCGTGCAATTGAATTTATATAGTCAATTAATTGTATGTTCAACCTCTCTTCAGGGTTAGTATACATATTACAGTAGCATACATATTACATATTACCATATGCTTTAAATAAAGTTAAACCACATGTTTTAAAGTAAACAAAGCAGACATGACCTAGATTCCCATGTTATTTAAATGTGAATTATTTTATTCCAAAACAACCTTTTGGTGCATAATTAAGAAAAATGAATAATTTTCCCCAAAACTTCAAGCCCAGACCTTTAAAATGAGACCTTTCCCAGCTTTCTACGGCCTCCCGTTCGCTCACAATTTCATTGTAAAATTTTGGGCTTACGGAATTAGATATATATATATATATATATATATATGAATTTGAACGGATGGTGTTTTTGGCCTCTAGGGACCTCAAAACAAAAAAATCGGTCCCTCGTCCAGGTCTTACCATGAGTACTATGGTAATAGCTTATTCCCTATATGGGTAATTCGCTAAAACAACAGAACTTCACATAAACAATATTAGCTGCAGAAAGTTTACTACCTACTGGACGGTTGCTAGCGAAAGACGGTATTGGCTAACGCAGATAGGACCCTCGGGTAAAACACATGACTACAAGGTTAACAGGTAAACGGAAAACCAAAATAAATAGCTCTCAGGAATCAGGATACTCAGTATAGAGGTGGTAAAGAGAAGTGAGCGGCGAATGGCGAGTGAATGACTAACTTCTTAAGACGAATAATGATAATAGCAACCATAGCAATGACGTCACCCCGCGGTGTCCTAGCACTTATACACTCATGTACAAAATTATCCTCATACACAACTGTCTTAGCCCCAAGACATGTAGCAGAGTATTTGAGATGACAGCAATGACGTCACCCCGCGGTGTCCTAGCACTTATACACTCATGTACAAAAATATCCTCATACACAACTGTCTTAGCCCCAAGACATGTAGCAGAGTATTTGAGATGACCGCCATTATTCGTTAATTCATTCTTAAATCAAAAAAGTTTGTTGTTCAAGTTACAAGTCGGTCGCATGCGAAATCGAACGATATGTGCTGTTTGCCGCATGAGGCGGTGATTCTGATTTATACTTTACTCCGCTAATTGTTGAAAACGTCACACAGTAGTGACGTCACAAGTGTTTACAGAAGCTCTGCCTAGTCATGTGACCTTGGACGACTCTAAGATGGTGAATAAACAAGTTAAAATCCCTTTTAAGTCCATTTGCTAACGAACCCTCTGTGACAGAAATATGCAGATTCAGATTTTTGTAAAAAAATATAACTAAAAGGCAATTACTTTCTCTGACTGTACCGGGTGTGTAACACAGTTATTCGTTTTTCAACATTTTCATAAAAAAAAATTAAAAATAAAAATAAACAATACTGTACTCACATATGAATCACTGTCACAAAAAGACATCTTGAAGGCAACATTTTATTTTAGTATTTGAGGGTAAGGTTCAATAGTACCGATTAAGAAATTAATTTGGTACCTACATTTGAAATTTTAAGTTTAAAAGTTGAGAATGCCAACGTTTGTTTTTAAGACAGGTTGGCACTAAACATATTAGCTCTTATCATGGCCCCAGTGTTTACAGTATTATATTTAATATTCTACATGTTGCGTGAAATCCCATAATTTCAGATGGGATTTCCCGGGGTTTCGTGTCGTGGATTGACCTCGTCTGACCCGTTTATGCAACCTTCGGACTATGTAAGTAGCCCTTTTCCTCAAAAGTATAATCGACTTAAAACGTTAAAGTTTTTGTAACTATAACTTTCCCCATTTAGATTTTAATCATATTTCAACGATTTTTGTTTCGCTGAATCGCATCCACATACCCCATAATGAAACAAAATGTTTACATAAAATCTAAACATTGACAAATTGAAATACGAGAAAATCGTAAACTATTTATTTGCTACCAGCCTGCATTTAATACCGCATTAGTGCTGAACTAGTGCTTATTCACATAAATAACTTCTCTGACTGTTCTTATGAAGCTATTAGGCTACCATTGGCTACTACAAACGTTTCGCATCGTGCCTTGCGAGTAGTCAAAGTCGTAAAGGTCCATTTTTGTGAGTAAAATGTTCTGCTATATTTTCTAAGAGTTTATTGAAATTGTATCATAATTTAAATGACTTTTAACTGATGAATAACATAGCTGAAAACATTAGTCACAGATTATGAGCTAGAAGTGTATCGAGTTATACACACGTATTTATTGTGGCCGGGTAACAGTACCGGTAGTGCCTTATAGCATAGACAAAGGAACCAATTACAATAATGGTCTATTGTCTGTGCTTAAATGTAAAAAAATATATATTTCATATATGCACTTGCCAGTGTGATTTTATTTTAATATCATGCGAATGTGTAAAATCGAAATCACCGGACGCAAACACAACTAGTACGAACCAGTAAACATAGGCCGCCAGCATAACGATTACACACTAGACACCATCGTAACGAGTACACACTAGACGCCAGCATAACGAGTGCACAATTGACGCCAGCATTACGAGTACACACTAGAGTAGAGGCCATTATAACGAGTACACACTAGAGGTCATCATAACGAGTACACACTTGACGCCAGCATAACGAGTGCATAATTGACGCCAGCATTACGAGTACACACTAGAGTAGAGGCCATTATAACGAGTACACACTAGAGGTCATCATAACGAGTACACACTAGACGCCAGCATAACGAGTGCACAATTGACGCCAGCATTACGAGTACACACTAGAGTAGAGGCCATTATAACGAGTACACACTAGAGGTCATCATAACGAGTACACACTTGACGCCACCATAACGAGTACACACTAGACGCCAGCATATCGAGGACACACTAGACGCCACCATAACGAGTAAATACTAGACGCCACCATAACGAGTACACACTAGACGCCAGCATATCGAGGACACACTAGACGCCACCATAACGAGTACACACTTGACGCCAGCATATCGAGGACACACTAGACGCCACCATAACGAGTAAATACTAGACGCCAGCATAACGAGTACACACTAGACGCCACCATAACGAGTACACACTAGACGCCACCATAACGAGTACACACTAGACGCCAGCATATCGAGGACACACTAGACGCCACCATAACGAGTAAATACTAGACGCCACCATAACGAGTACACACTAGACGCCACCATAACGAGTACACACATTGACTATATTATAGTCAATGGTACACACTAGACACCACCATAACGAGTACACACTAGAGGCCATCATAACGAGTAAACTATAAACTGAATAATGTTCAGAGAGTAGTGTTTGAGTTCAACGTGTAAAAGACCTTCTCTGGAGTTACACGTATCATGCGATGGAGGACTACTACTCGAGGCTTTCCTGTGTAAGCTGCCGAGAACAGAAACGATCCGTCCGTCTCAATCAAGAACATTCAATCGACCAATCGTAAGCAAAGTCTTGTTATGTAAACTAGCGTAACTCTAAGTGTAATACTTATACTTATACGCTTTATTCAAATACAGGTTTTGAAATCTTCAGCCTTCAAAAGTTCTGTATATTTAGTACTATAGTGATACGATAACAAGCTAAATATTAATCTAACAGTGCACAGCATTAATAAATTCATGTATGAGTGATTTTCTTACTCCTTAAAATCTACCCTTGTAACCAGTTCAGGGCAAAATGACATTATACTTTTCTAATTTGATTATTATAGAAACAATTTCGTATTATTATGTATGTCTTTAAATTTATAGAGAATGACTGTAATCTAAAGATTGATTGGCGCCAAACACTTTGCAGTGTTTCTGCGCTATTTTATTTTTACAGGATTCTAATTGGTGTGTATTGTTGTTGGATATGATATTCTAACAAAATAAAAATTAAGTCTCAGTCTGTAAGGTACTTGCACCGGTAACTTATTGGGACACGTTATTAAGCTGACAAGATACACATCTACAGTATAAAGTGTTAAGTATATATCGCATTTCGCTAAACCACAAGTTCAAACTCCAATCAAAAGAACAAACCTAGATCAAATGAGGAAAAGTGGACTCACCTCAGTGGTCTGGTCAGTGATGAAGACACCGTTGCAAATGCCGAGTTTCAGCTCAGCTGATTTTGACCTTGTCCCCCTCCCCCCACCACATCTCTAGTCCCGACGGGCATCATCAGCTGACCAGTGACCATCATAGCAGTATCACGTATATTGTAATTTAATGAAACAATTATGTTCATGCCTGCTATGAAGGATGGATTCGTTTAGAGTTTCAGTTGAAGTAAAGATGCGGTGATTCCACTCTATACCTTATCGGGTGTCGTTGACTTTAGCGTATTAAAGAAAGACGACGTCAGCCGTCAGCCAAATGCGTAACTTTTTTAGCTCTGAGAGTTTTTACATCTAATCTTTTTAGCAATACAATAAATAAAATTAGAGTTTTGTCTGTACTTTGCTCAGAATTATATACTTTTAGGTTATTTTTACGTTTTATACATTAAAGAAGCAGAAACGAGTCTTATCTCTATTTCTGTCTGTCTGTCTTTCCCTTTGTCTGTAACACTCAAGATGGCATTTTACGCAATCTTTTCCGTGAAAACCAGAGTACCTATCAAGATCCAAGTCATTTTAATGTATTCACTGGATTGGCGAGAGTGTCTTTAGTGATTTAAATACAGTAGCTGTCAATGATATGTTTACAAATGTTGTTTACAAATACCGCAACCATTTCGAATCACGTTTTGAAAGCAAATCCCAACCAAGTGAGATTAAAAACGTTTTTCTTACATAACGGATTTAATAAGAATAGAATAGAATAGAAAAATTCTTTATTGCTCAATGTACCTACATAATATACAGTTATTGTAAACAATCACAATAGTATTGAACACAATTCTGGTTATAGTATTTATACAAATATGGCTATGAACTTACACAAAATTTTTTAAACCTAACCTGTTTATAAACATGGGATATAATAAGAGAATCATAGAGAAATAAAGCCCTGAGGTTATAAACCTGTGCGGGATCTATATATTGAATCTTACACAAACTCAGTATAGTAGGGTAGAGAGTGCCTGGCCGGATCAGTACCACAGTTATACTACACAATATTTAAAAATAACATAAACGTGGCTTCTTCACATGAAACAATATTAACTTCTTTAATTATTACGTCTTATTAAAGTATTAGGCATTGTTTAACAAACTATAACTAAGACTATAACTATCAAAGGAAAACACTATGTCATTATATTAGAGTAGTAAAAAATTGATTAATGTCATTATGGTTAAGTAAGTAGTTACGTATAATTTTATTAAATTGGTTCTTGTGTTTACACTCTTTAATATAGTTTGGAAGTAGATTATAAAACTTTGGTGCTAAGTACAAAAGATATTTTTGGAAATGGGATAAATTGGGTCGCGGAACATACATTTTACCCACGTTCCTTAATGTGATATTGCCCTGGTTCATTCTGTTTGTATCACATCTATTAAAAAAAATTCTTAAAACCTTAAAAACGTATAAGTTTTTAAAGGGCAAAATGTTTAAACTTTGGAAAAGAGGTAAAGAAGGTTTGGTTTTTGTTTCGTTTAGTATTATTCTGACGAAGGCTTTTTGTAGTGTGATTATTGGTTTTAATGTGGTAAAATATGTCCCACCCCAGATTTCTATGCCATATTCAATTTTTGAATTTATGAATGCGAAATAAATTGATCTAAGAAGCTGTATATAACATATGCTTCTGAGCATGTAGAATATACGGATGTATTTTACCAATTTTAGTTTTAAGTATTAATTAATCGCAAGTGCAATAATATAGTCTAATAGTGTAACCGTAAATTAAATTAAATAACTAGACATCGTCCAAATCGGAACCAGAAATTCTTTGAGTATAAAATGTTTCTTGAGTTTTGACAACCAGAAAGAAGACCTTGAATCAGTGTTGTATAGGGCTGGACACTGAAATGATCGTCGCCAATAGCTTACAAAAAAGGTTTCCACTCATTGACGGCGCTTCAATGGCGGTTGTGTAAAGTGTAAAGTAAAAAATCACAACTGCAGTGGGTGATTGTAACAGAGGTTTAACAGAGGAAGTGCTAAACTCGCTTTTCCAATGTGTCACTTTCTGTTTCTACTCACCGTGTAATGCAATCGCTGGACCATACAGCCAATAGGCCCATAGCTCATATCTTGGGTACGTAAGCCTACATATTTATTCATAACAACCTTTATTGACGACGATCCTTGATACCGGTACTTTTCCATAGAATACATGGCCTACCTACTTAAGAAATATAATTACAAATGACCAAAACCCCAACATTGTGTGATTTTCGTCACATTTCCTTCTAATGTTAATAGATATACTAATCATTGTTTAGAGAATGCGTAATCTATTAAATAACAAAAAGTTTTTTGGGTAAGGTTGTTTTTTTTTCAAACTGACACCGATAAGTTTACGCTATAACTTTTTACGAGAAAATCCAAAAGCAAGAGATCAATAACCTCGGGACTAGATATTAATGTATTTAATTGGTCGGATGTACTAGATAGTTCTTAGGTAGGTTCTTACGTAGGTACTGGTTCTTTTCCTTAGAACCGTTGGTAGCTGCTAGAATCATTTTTACGTAGGTACCAACACATCACTGTAGTTTACAAATTAGTTATCGTTGGTGTTGCACCTTATTTATTAGAGCCGTCCGTATTCAATTTAAGTGATGTCTTAACTCTGTATAAGTTTTGCTTTTTCTGTCTGGATTCCATCTTAGCTTACCCGGTATGCTAAGAAAATGATAACCTATTTGAGTAAAACATTTGTTGGGCAAACCATCATGAATTGTTTACGCCTTTATATTGTTTATGTATCAATAGTTCGTGGCCTTTTTTGGATTGTTGTGTGTATGTCTGTTGGTAACGCATTAATGTCCTTATTTCTCAGTGTTTCACGGAATGGACAAGAGCACCTTTGATACTGAAAATGTCAACCGGAATAAAGTGTTAAATGGTGAGGTCGAGGTAGTACTTTAAATACGTTTAAGTTAACCGATGTGGAAAGTAACTTTCAATTATAGGCCTACTTTAGGGCTACGCTTCATGGATCTATAAAACATTTTTTAGTTTAATCATTGGACATATGGACCATAACGATCCGGGTGACATTTAATTGCGAAGCATTTATTTTGGCTTGAACTGTCAGATACTGTATTTGCGAAGGTTTATATATAATAGTTTTGCCAGCATATCTGCAAATATGCAAACTAACTGCTGTTCTTAATCTTAATATAAGAAGGTTTCAACTGACTACTATAAGATCCCCGTGCGTAGAACGGGCACACAGCTAGTAGTAACTAAAATGTTAAGTGTGATTAGTTTATGTATTATGATTCAGCGTATATGTATAATTTGAAATCTGGTTACAGTTCAAGTATAACTTTATGTGGTTATGCCGGAATAACACTTTCCTAATGCAATGGATGGTCATTTTAAGCCAAGTTAATTTACACTTCCGAAAACGTATGATCAGGGCTGCTTGTGAAAGGGATGTTACATTTGAATTGTTTGTTTAAGCCTGTTATTTTTATATGTTTGTAGGACTTCATATATATTGGTTTTAAACCGTCTTCTTTTTTTACTGGCACAATCGGAACAGCTTTCACCAATCAAAGTGACTTTCTTATGAATCCACCTTTATCAATTGTCAGTATCAATTATGTTACCTGAAATTTAATCGAAAAGTCTAAAATGTACGCAGAGGGCAGTAGGACGGGTGGATCATTAATAATTTGTCTTCTTTCTTGTTTAAGAGGACAAGCTTGGCCTATTTTTTCACCCCTTTGCCTCTATTCTTTGGTTACTGGACTCGAAACCTAATTGTCTGCATGCCAGAAGATTTAGACCCGGGATCCCAGAGTATTCCCAGTGATCTCTTTCACTTTCACTTGAAACCAGTAGTTGATGTTCCTTGCTTTAGGAAGACAGAATACTAAAGCACAGCCAATAACTGTGTGGTTAGAGAACTATCTAGTGGACTTTTGCTCTGATAAGGCTCATTCACAGATAGAGTGTTAAGATTTCCTTAACACAGATCCTCAAGTTTTACAGCCCTTCATACAGTATATAAGCGCAAGCAGTCTGGGTGCGCGCCGCGCGGTTTCGTCTCTACTCTAGCCGTCCTAAGTACATTTCACCCACCCCTCCCCCCCCCACAACTAGCCATGAAGACTGCTGATAACCCCAGAGCCGTGTGGGCCAGATGTTTTTGTAAATGAGCAATAGACACTCCCCCTACTACACCCCGGGCCCTTGCGCGGCCGCGCGTCCGTTCCGTACTAAATGCGACTACTGTACACTGGCCACTTCCGAAGTACCGTAGTGTCCTCATCTTGGTGTATCTACTACAGGCTCATCTCCCTCTCCAAAATTGGCTTTGTATCTATAATCATGGGATGATAACATCCTTTTAATTTTCTTAAGTTACTGGAGTTCCTTTTGCTTCTGAATCGACAATGATAACTAACTTATCACTTCCTGATGCGCAAATGACCCTACTACAAAGGTTGGCCTGAATTGGAAAGCAAGTGCATCTGAGGCAAGAGTTATGTCTGGAATAGACTTGCCGAAACTTAATTTTATTTAGCATAGGAATCTCTTTTTCCAATAGAATTCTCCCTCAGGTGTCTTTGTGTCTCATTATTCTCCTGCTCTTACATTAAAACTCCCTGACAGAAGATATTGCCCCAGGATCCCAGTGATTTAATTTAAAACCATTTGTTGCTTATAAGCACAAAGATCAAAGCAAATAAGCCATCACCAGTCCCACTACTTTAAGAAACCCAAAGCCCAGCCAACACTGTGTGGTTTGGGAAACATTCAACCATATAGTGGGTTTGTGCTCTGACAAGGCTCATACACATAGAAGGCTTCTTGTGTCGACGTTTCGTGATAAATTTTGGTCCGATGGGGAATCAGCCACATTACTTAAATTTACATACATTTACTAAATGCATTTTACTCTTCTTTAAACTGAGAATTCTCTTAACATGGAAACAAATAAAAATCGACAAACTAACTAGTAACTGCTGAAAAATAATTATCTGCTGCATGCCTATTGAAA